CGGCTGGGGCTAAACCACGACAGTTACTCTGGACATTAAACTGTATTGATCTCTAAGGGACACTGCTAGGTATTGGCTGCCAGTTGGACTTTGCACCACTGATCACTTGAGTGAATTTTCCTGTCCACCTTATCTTCCATTCATCCAGTCGGTATCTTACCAGTTTGGTGATAAGGGGAGTACAGGAGAGTGTGTCAAAGGCCTTCCTGGAGTCATACAACATCCACTGCCCTCCTTGTCCACAGCAACAGTCATGTCCCCATCATAGAAAGGAATCAGTTTGGTCAGAGAGCTGGAGCATATGACATATGAGGAAAGGCTGACAGAGTTGTTCAGCCTTGAGAAGAGAAGGGTCAGGGAAGATCTTATTGTTGTCTAGAACTACCTGATCAACGGATAAAGAGAAGTTGGAGACAAATGTTCTCATAGGTGCACAGCCAGAGGAGAAGAGGCAATGGTTGCAACATGGGAAACTCAATCATATACAAGAAAAACTTTATTCCTATGAGGGTGGTCCAGGCATTGCCCAGAGAAGTTGTGGGACCACCATTCTTAGAGACATTCAAGACTCAAATAGACATGTCCCTGAGCAATCTGATCTATTCAGACCTGCTTTGAGCAGGATGTTGGATTAGATGACCTCCAGAGGTCCATTCCATCCTAAAGTAGAGCTCTAGTTTTACATCTTCAAACATGTTTTAAAAAAAAAAACAAACAACTCTAAAACATGTGGTTATATTTTAAGTCAGTTTGATGTCACTGCACAGATGTTTTCATAAAAATTCATTAAACCAGTTTTTTTGTGTAAATTTTGCTGCTAAAGATTGTGAGATCTACTTTTTCACTAAACAATGTGATAGAAGAGACTGATATACTATCATCCTGGATGCATCTACTTCAGTAGTCCTACTCTTACAAGTTTTGAAACAAATATGCAAAAGCGACATCATAAATTGAATTGAATACTTGAAAATCTTTCTCTCTCTGTTTTTCCACCTTTGTTCACTCCTCTTTCACCCCTGCATCTAAAACATCTGGCACAAAAACTGATTATTCTTTCCTTAAAAAAAATTTCTTGCAAACAGATGTCTAAGAATAATGTGATTTTAACCATCTAGTTGCCCTTACTGTTGCTGCAACATCATTTTCCAAGAAAGATGGTAAAGTTATGGAGGTTAAGAAGAGGATAGCTACAAGAATGGAGGAAAAAGTAGCAAAAGAAATTGTAAAAGTTAATAATGGTGAGTGGTAAGCTTCTCCTTTTCCATATGTTGTGAAGTACTTCACATATTTATGGATATTTTTGATTCTTCAAATGGTGCTTTTCTATAAAGTTGAGGTTGATACAACTGAGACAGAGCAATTTGTATTAGCACATTTGCACTGTACTCACACAAACAAGCATGAACACTTAAAACTCCATTACAAACCTTGAGCATCTTCACAAACAGAAACTGTAGAAAAGCACAGCCGTGCTTGGTTAGTCTAGACATAACTTTAAATTTACATTTAATAAAATTTAATTCAAACTACTGCATGAGAAATGTATTTCTATTTTGTGTTATTTTTTCAAGAAAAAAATATCAACATAAATTAAGAAAAATTTGTCATGTTTCAGGACTAAGAAGTTATTTTATTCTACAGGAATATATTACTGTCTGATAGATGTCTTGATTTAGTTTCTCTACACTGAATATTCAAAAACATCAAGTCTTCCATTATTAAATTTCTAATTAAAAAGCTTCTCACTAATGTGCCTTAGAACGACATCTTTCTCTAATTATGAGCTGGAAATAGTCCACAATACACACACAGTTGGGAGTACTTGATCACCTCAAGGTTTGAAGATGCTAAAATGCATCTAGACTTTTCTTCTATTAATCACAATCTGTAGGGAATAAAGATGTCAAAAAAAAAAAAAGAGAGAAGAGATGTTGTGGTTTAGCCCCAGCTGCCAACTAAGCACCACGCAGCCACTCGCTCGCTCCCCTTCCCCCAGTGGGACGGGGGAGAGAATTGGGAAAAAACTCATGGGTCGAGATAAAAACAGTTTAATAGGACAGAAAGAGAGAAAGAAACAACAATAATAATACCGACAAAGGAATGTACAAGAATGAATGATGCCCAATACAGCAATTGCTCACCACCCGGCAATCGATAGCCTGTCCCCAAGCAGCGATTTCCAACCCCTGGCTAACTCCAGTTTATGTACTGGGCATGACGTTGTATGGTAGGGAATATCTCTTTGGCCAGCCTGGGTCAGCTGTCCTGGCTGTCCCCGCTCCCAGCTTCCTATGCACCCCCAGCCTTTAGCAGGCCAGCACGAGAAGCTGGACTGCCCTTGACTACTCAACATGCTGATGTTTGGGGTTGTTGCTATCAACAGTTTCTCATCCCAAATCCAAAACACAGTCTCACACTAGCTTCTGTGAAGAAAACCAGCTCTATCCTGGCTGAAACCAGGACGAGAGAGAAGAAAAAGAGGTATTCCTCTTGCTTTCCCCGCTCCAGCAACCTCCAACATGTTTCTGTCCTTGAGCTTTGCCTTGGGCAAAAATAAAGTCAAGTGGTGTCATATAAACAGCAAATGTAAACCCTCTACTCAATTCTTTTCCATTTTACAAACTGGAACTATATGCATGTTTTTCTTCCGTTCTTCTAGCTAAGTCATCACCAAGAAAAATTAAGAATAGAGCATAGCACATGTATGAGAATAAAACCAACCACTACTTTTTGGCCTCAAAGAACACTAACAACACAGTAGGGTAACAAAGCAGCTTTCAAAAACTGTGTATCAGCCACTTCAAAAGAGAAAGCAAGTCTTGCTCAAAGATTTATGAAAATCAAATTGCAAGCGGATAGTACAAACTGTCAGAACATTTCTCAAAAAAAAAAAAGCCACAGCATTAATAAATTCTACATTTGTTAACACTAATTTATATTTACTATTTCATTTCCAAAAACCAAACAGCAATACATAAATGTTGAATATACAGAGAACAACACTGCATTTTTGCATTAATCTCCTGCTTAGGTCATGGTCTTATCATGATTATTTAAATTTAAGAGCAATACTTGGTTGACAAGGTACTGCAGTGCTGCAGGCTACAATCCTCACACAATGCCTAAAGGGTTATTACTGTGGAAAAATTCTACTGAGGACTTTATGAAAGAGTCTTACCCCTTCCCGAAGACACCTCATTAGCACAGTGTAAGCAGCCGAGGGAACAACCCAGCATTCTCTGGGGTGCTCCCTTTTTTCCTCCTGAAATGAAGCCAACGGCACAAATGATTAAATCAAAAAATCACAATAATCTCACTCACATTAAAAATGGGTAACAGATTCTTAACAGGGTTCATATTATACATTTTTCAAGTTAACATATGCTAGAAAATACATTAAATTCCAGGGCAGTATTACTATTTAATGTTATTTCACATGCAGCAGAGAAATTGATATTTTACTAGCTTATTTAAATAGTCTCCAAACTCCATAACAGAATTTGTCATAATATTTCTGGGTTTCAATGATTCCTTCTAATTTGCACACACACAAAAATATTCTTGCGTTCCTCTCAATCATTTTGTCTCTCTTCTGAAAGAGACAACTGTTTACTAATAGTAGTAATGTTTCTCTTTAAATGTGATTTATTATACCAAATAAACAAGATCACTGTTGTCTGTCAACTAAAAAAAAGTAAATGTACTTTGGAAAAAATAAAAAAGTCATGCCGGGAGATATAAAGTGTTCAGTAAAACTTGCTGTATGGTATAGCCGTCAGTACATATCAACATTTCCAAGATCTTTATGTGTATTTCCTTGAAATCACCCCGTTAGAGAGGCTAATTCACTGCTAGATGAAACAGAGGTTTGCTTCTTCCATCCAAAGTTGATAAACTCCATTTCCCCCCATCCTGCCCCTGCAGCAGCCTACTGTAAAAATTCAAGTTGAAAAGAGGACGCTTGGACATCATTAAGATTTAACAAAAACAACTGACATATATAGGCTAGTAACACTAAGATATTAGCAACTGAAAAAAAGTCTCTTTTGGGAAAGAAAGTGAAAAATAATAGGCATTGAATGGTGTGAAGACAATATGCCTTGAAATCAATGCGTACTTATCTTAGTAAATAGACAAAGGATGACAAGCAACAATTCCTTCAGAAATTATGCATTTCTTGATGTCTATTGATTATATTAGCAAATTCTTTTTAGCATTCTAATTAACTGTTTATAATAAAAAGCATAGGATGGGCAAGGTGGGGGTTAAAGATGCAAAAACAAACTATACTCTCTGAATTTCCCGGTTCCTGAGTGGTCAACACTAATTCAACATATATGATATGATAATATCAGGCATTTAATTTAAGCATGGCACATTATCAGGAAAGACTATTACTGAATTGCCAAGTAAAATTCATTTTCCTTCTTTGCTGAAAGTAGGTCAAAACTTTATTTGCAACATGTATCAATAGAGAAAATGAGTTTGTTAAATCTTCCATTTTTTAAGCTTTATTTCTGCTAACTTTGTATTAGGAGGTACAGAACAATTTTCCTTGGAAGACAGACAATAATAAGAATGGTCTGACATCCAACAGAGCCATCAGATCTACTACATTCCACCTCCATCTTATCTGAGTAACAACATGTTGACATTTAATCATAGTTTGCCTTCCAAGGCTTAGAGCATAAGTTAAGAAAATGCAGACCAAGTTTCAAAGAAGGACGGTAGGTTACTTTCTAACAGTCAACAGTGGAATATTCTCCATCTGGAAAAGGCAGGACAAGACTAGGAGACAAGACAGAGTTAAAATGACAGCCTATGCTGAAACTGGTATGGATATGTTTCCCATTTTATTAATCTAACTTAATCATAAATTATGTCAAGTTTTTCTGTAACCATACATATTACATGTACTATAAAATAAAAAGCCTTAAGAAATGGTGCAGTCCTGAAACATTAATAGTTCTTCCATTCTTCAGACTGATTAATGACTTTCTGCAAGGTTTAGTCTCTCATTAGAAATAAAAAAAAGGCAAAAAGCTGTAAGAAATTTTGCACCATTCTTAATTACCTAAACACACCTACAGAATTTGACATTCAATAAATTTAAATATGTCACCGAACACTGGGGAATCTTCCTACTTTTTGCTCACAGCCCATGTTGATTTTGATTAAACTTTAGGTTGTGCACCCTAATAACATAAACAGCACAAAATGAATAGGAATATTACATAGAACTTGAAAGTTTTCCCTCAAGGCAATTCGCTCAAGAGTAACAGAACATCTTCCCTGGGGTCTGCTCATGCTACTTGCGAATTGCTCTCGGCTTCTGTTTGGAAGAAAAACGCAGAGATGGAGCACAAGATCTTACTTATGAGATCTCATATGCAAGTACACACATAATATCATAGTTTAGGATGGCAGAGGACCGTTATGACTATCTGGACTTTTTCACAGTATTTTCTAAGCCACAGAAGTGCAACTAGTGATCCCATATTTAACCTAATGAATCATGCTGCACCTAGATAGCTGAACTTTATTTTAAGTGTTTGATAATTTATGATTTACCAAATGTTAATCTGAAAAAGAAATAATCTTTATCATTATTTAACATTAATATTGTGGTTGGACCTAGAAACACCTAGTAAAAGCCCAGAGGGAATAAATCAGCCCCCAAAAACTTACAGTTTAAATGATAAATATTTAGCAGCTTAATAAAACAATCAAGCAGGCTGAGCAGCAAAATGAAGAAAACACAGAATAAAAGGAAAACAAAAAAATTCTGTGTACAGTTCTTAATGGATGAGATGCAGTTATGATTTTTTTTCCTTAAATTAGTCACGACATAAAGCTTTGCTGTTTAAAAGTATAAATTGGCAACAAACTTTCTTGTTTCATCTTTATATACTCCCATTAACTTGGTATGTGATCTTGGCAAGGTCATTCGATACTACCGTTCTGCAGTTTAGTAAGTAACAAAATGCCTACAACACTACAGTATTCTGAGGTATAAGTAGGTACAGAACAGAAAAATGAAAAGCTTTATAGAGGTCTCCTCTTAATTACAATTTCTTTAAAAAGTTTGTGTCTCCAAGCATACAAATCAGAGTGATATTTTTTAAGTTTTACCAAGACAAAGTGCCTTGAGTTCATATATGTAGAGTAGTTCCAAATATTTCTTCCTATTCGCTAATTATTTCTTAGTTATAACTTGAAGCAATGCCCATTACTATAGATGTTCCTGAAACATGAGAGTTGTCATTTAAATACAAGTTACTGTGCTTCGAACATTGTGAAGGTTATAGATACATATAGACTCAAAAATTTGTCAGTTCAGATTTTCAGAAGAAAAAAATTAATCTATTAGGGTCAGTGCATGCAAATAATTTTGCTGTTATAGAGCCAGTGTAAACAGATTTCTTTCAACCACTAAAGTCTCATTTCAAAAGAAAATCAAGCAGTGCAAAATACTCTTGCCAAATACAATTTTCAAGTTGGAGTTTTAAATTTATTTATTTTTATTAATAGTAAAAATTATATTGCCTGCAATCTGTCTGATGATGCCAAGTAGAAATTCTTCCCCCCAAGGAAAACTGAGACGTATTAAAACATATAAAAATGAACCGTGACTGTGGATGTATTTTCCACAATTTCTCGATGTAAGAACAAGTTCTGTGACTCTGTGTGTTTGACAAATATTTTGGCAGTTGCCTAACCAGAAAAGGACAGTGCTTGCTAAACTACAAAAACCAAGGCACCCACTACATCTTGTGGAACATGCAAAGGAGATAAAGGACAATGAAACATGGAAGTTCAGCACAAAGCCATAACTACAATAAGCCAAACTACAGATCCATTTAAGATTTTCATTCCTTTATCAAGTGACTTCACAGACTGTTAACTAACTAATATGGTAGCATTCAGAGCAATTGGATGCCGTTAATACAAAAGCTTCAGAGAAGCTAGGGCTAGGCTTTTTCTGTTTGAAATCACCTTCGTTTTCAATAAGTAAAAGAAAGTATTTTACTCTTTGAATAAAGGAAAGGTGACGGCTCCTCTAAACCCCTCATCTTCCATTCCTACTATCGACAGTATTTATTTTCTACAAATAACCTCTGTTTATTTTTCATGTGAATCTACTATTTTTAAACTGAAGGTTTAAATCAGTTCTAGACAGGAATTACTGTAATTCCATTTGAAATTAGTCAGGATCATTCCATTTCATTTTCCACAGTGTTATGAATCCAACCATGCTAGGGTAAGATCTAATATGGACTAGATATATTAGTTTATTGATATCATAGGCTGTCCTGATATATCCTATTTAATCAAAGTCTCTAGCTAAGATGTGCTAACCCTTAGAACTGCCACTTGGAGGCCAGCAGTCACTATGATGATTGATTAAACTGTTTTATGAAGTTAAGACTCCATACTTGAAGAATGCAATTCAATTAATCTCAGATGAAGTACACGATTGGATTAACATGTTTCTTACAGTAGAAGAAGTATCACAGAACATACAAGGACAAGAAACTGTTGACAAAACAAATGACAAAATAATTTGAGGTTTTTGTCTACTTTTCCATGGGAAATATTTTTCACATTTGTGAAATATGTAAGGATCACTTGACAGTCTTACCTCACTGGCTATAAGGTAAAGAAGCTCCCCAAGTGCAGGTAGAAGGCATTGTTTCAATTTACTATTTCTGAAGTTTTCTCTGATGAGTTCAGTTAAAAGTATAATTGCCTAAAATAAAAAAAAAAAGTCATAGAAAAACACATATAATCTTCTCTCAAGCAAAATGTACCGTTAAAGGGAACAAGTTTTATCTGAAATGCCATCTTACTGACATGCTCTTCACTTATGCTAAAGAGCCATTTGCAAAGGATTTAGTAAGCGTGGAAAGACAAGAAAAAATAATAATTACAAAACAGATTATGTATGCAATATGGAGAAAAATGCAATAAGGAACCAGCCTAGGTGACAAATTGTCAGCTATCTCTTCTTCCCTTTCCCTCAGGGCAATAGAAATAGATCTGCCAGGGGGAAAAAAAAAAAGTCTTCTTCCTGTTTCTATGTTTCTATCAGGAAATATAAAAGTTCTCCTCACCATCAGGTTACCAAAAGAACAAACAACAACAAAAAAAGATAGGAACTCAAAGTTTTATCTCCTGATCCCTGAGTTTACTGGCAACTCACTGTGTGAGAACTGAACATACCATTTTAGTTTTCTGTACTTCAAGCGTTTCTGTTTGCAAAGCAGATATATATATACAGTATTTTTATTGAGAGGGTGGAGGGAATTTGAAAATTCTGATTCATCTTGTGCAGGTCGCCTAGTAAGAAATCACTTTCCCATACACAGATGGAACAGATTTCAACCTAACATTTAATGCTGGACTTATTCAAGAAACCAAGCACCATTTAGCTACTACATGTTAAATTGAAGAGCACGCTATTTGCTGGCTGGGGTGTGCTCCCCAAAATCTGAACGTGCTCTAATATGTACCAAGCATATAGCAGTATAGAAGCCAGTTGCTTCTTTAATTTAAGAAAGGTGTATCTACATGTCCCCCCTGCTCCAAAATATTAATGCCTTGCAAGACTAGAAAAAGACGGCAGTTCAGCAAATACGGATTTAACATACTTCCTATGTCCCTTAAGTATTTCCTTTGGCTATTGGGCAGGATTTAGTTCTAATATTTTTAAAGCACTTATGAGGTACAGCAAATAAGCTCTGTAACCAGATACTGTTGGTGATGTCAGTGATTTCCAATAGTTTGCATGATATGCAAAGTGAGATCTGGTTATTTTTATGTACTTTAAATAAACAGTAACATGGCACATACTATTCTATTGTAAATCTTGAAAACAGTCAACTTCTAAAATATTATTTTATATGTGAAGTGTGATGTAGCTTGCACTATTCATTATTTTACTTAAACAGAAAAAGTATTGCTGTAAAGTATCAACCTACAGAAACTGGAAAAAAATAGTAGTTCAAGGAATATAATACTAATTGCATATTTCATTATTGTACAGAAAACAAGGCAATAGAAACCATCATATTACGATCTCCTTTAGTACAACAAATGGAGCATTAATTTTATTTCATTTTTCTGCTTATGAACTCTTCCCTTCCCCTTAAAACAGCAAAAACATAATCAGCAGTATCACTGAGACATTTCATGTGTTTACTTTATGCTTTAGTATAAAACAATGGACTTTTAAAAATGGCCTTGTTTAAAAATATTTTGAAGTCACTCTGTGACAGTCCTATCCCAAAGTCATAGAGTCGAGGTCTGGTTAAATTGTGGTGGTTAGTCTGTGATTTGTTTGCCTTTAACTTTCACATTCTTAATTAACATACTTCAAGCATGGGAGATTATGTGACAGTGATGGAGCTGTGGAGACAGACTATAGCAGGGGTTGAATGTGAGGCCACAGAGAGGGAACATATGCTGTTACTGACTATAATGCCACGTAAGCATAAGTATATAAAGTTAGGAGTTTGATCTAGAGTGATAGAAGGGTGATACTGCCATCCATATGAAAAATTCACAATAAAACTCCCAAGAAATTTTAATTTCTCCTGTTAAAAAACTGTGGGCCAAAGCCACTTCAGGACTTATTCCCAAAGGGGAGAGCAAAACAATCTACAAAGAGATATGCCTTTGATGAGATGTGTGGTAACTGAATGATGTAACACAAAAATTTTTCAGAGCTACAAAGACACACATGCTTTACCTTGGGTAGCACAGAAAAAAAAAATAATTGAAAACCAAAACAAGCAAAAACCACCAACACCAACCAAACCACCAACATGGTGATTTTCTCACAAACCATGAAAACTGTTTGGCCAAAGGCAAAGGTTATCTGAAACAGTCCTGGCACTCTACTTCCAAAACATGCTCTCCCTTCCCACTACCTCAAAAAGCCTAGCAAAACACAATCCTATCTAGTCATTAAGCAAGAAACAGCTAAAAAGAAAGCATTACTCTGAATTTTTTTCCAGAAATCTAAAGAAAATTGTGATTTTAAACACACATCCATGTGTTAAACACACACCACCACATGTGGTGAGTTGACCTTGGCTGGATGCCAGGTGCCCACTAAAGCTGCTCTATCACTCCCCTCCTCAGCTGGATGGGGGAGAAAAAATATAACGAGAAGCTTCTGGGTCAAGATAAGGACAGGGAGAGATCAGTCACCAATTACCATCATGGGCAAAATGGATTTGACTTGGGAAAATTAGTTTAATTTACTGACAATCAAAATCAGAGTAGGATAATGAGAACTGAAACCAAATCTTAAAATAGCTTCCCCCCACCTCTCCCTTCTTCCTGAGCTCAACTTCACTCCCGATTTCTCCCCTCCTCCCCCTCAAACGACACAGGAGGACGGGGAATGGGGGCTATGGTCAGTTCACCACACATTGTTTCTGCCGCTCTTTCCTCCTCAGCAGGAGGACTCACACTCTTCCCCTGCTCCAGCGTGGGGTCCTTCCCAGGGGAGACAGTCCTCCACAAACTTCTCCAATGCGAGTCCTTCCCACAGGTTGCAGTTCTTCACGAACTGCTCCAGCCTCGGTCCCTTCCACAGGGTGCCATCCTTCAGGATCAGACTGCTCCAGCGTGCGTCCCCCATGGGGTCACAAGTTCTGCCAGCAAACCTGCTCCAGCCTGGGCTGCTTTCTCCACAGGTCCGCAGGTCCTGCCAGGAGCCTGCTCCAGCACAGGCCTCCCATGGGGTCACAACATCCTGCTGGCATCCACCTGCTCCAGCGTGGGGTCCTCCATGGGCTGCAGGTGGAGATCTGCTCCAGCGTGGAGCTCCATGTGCTGCAGGGGCACAGCCGGCCTCACCATGGTCTTCACCACAGGCTGCAGGGGAATCTCTGCTCCAGTGCCTGGAGCAGCTCCTGCCTCTTTCTGAACTGACCTCGGTGTCTGCAGCGCTGTTCCTCTCACAGATTCTCACTCCTCTCTCCAGCTGCAAATGCCATGTGCCCTTTCCCTGCCCCCCCCTTCTTAAATATGTCATCCCAGAGGCGCAATTACCATTGCTGATGGGCTCGGCCATGGCCAGTGGGAGGGGCCCCCTTGGACGCCGC